GCAGTTTTTCGGGCTCGATCGAGTGCTCCGTTCAGTCTCAAGCCCCCTCTCACCCCATCCTGCTCAATCCCAATCCCAGCTGAATTAAGACGCCTCCCACGCTCACTTTAAAGCCCGCTTCCGCTTCCGCTCCCGCTCCTAAAGGCGACCGCAAGCCGTGATTTGGCCCGCCTGGCGAGGCAGCCAATGAACGCGCTGCATTCAAGGTCAACACGTTTTGACGGCCATTTTGAATATGCTTTGCCGTTCAATGGCCGCCCAAACAGTTGCTCTGACTGCAGGCTGCACTTCCTGCCCAATGAGCTGGCCCTGAGACCGAGCCCGAACCGGAGCCCGCCTGCTGCGTTGGCGTCCTGTTGCCTTGGCAACGTCCTTCGATAGGCGTAACCTCGACATTGGCTCCGCTTGGGGGTTGCTTCCGCTGCAGCAGCTGCACTGCGCTCAAGGTCAGCCAGCCATCAAATCGAGTAGATGTGTGTGTGTGTGTGCACACCAGCTGATTGCCAGGGTTGCCACTCGGCTATCAATTAAATCGTTTTTGGCGCCTGATTTGTGCGCGGCGCTTGAATCGATTCATACTCCGATATATTCATAGTCAGCTATAGCTAATGGTAGATATAAATATAATACGAAGATAACTCCGATTAAATTCTGTTATAAGGCCCAACTATTGGTAACACTTATTCAACTAAGGAATCTAGGCATGGCTTTAAAGTCTGCATAAATTGTTGCATATAAACCAAACAAAGAGCTGAAATGTTAATTCTGTAGTAAGAGGATGTAACAAGTCTATATATATATATAATCTCTATATAGCTGACATCTTTCTTGTAGCAAACTTTTGTGAAGCAAATTCTCTTTTTAGAAATTCCATTCACAAAAGTGGAAAATTCGTGGAATAACTATTATATATAATTTTTCATCCGAACGGCCTCGACTCTTCTAAAAAAAATCTTTGTAAAAAATTCACTTTGCACGTCTTTCACACTTTTTGCAACAACCACAACTCATGAATGGAAAATTTGTATCAAAGTTGTGCATTAGTAAAATGTGCATATCCGACTTCATGAACGAATTTAAAGAGATCTAGCATGGTCCGAAATTTAAGCTCAACGAAATGCTTCCCGAAAGGCAGCATATTTCACTTCAAAAACGATTTGGTTCAATATGAAAAACTTTCGTGGAAGACTCAGCTATAAGGCATAAATAGTCATAAAGGCAAAAATTTCTCAAGGAAATGTGTAATGATGCAACGAAAAAATTAAGGCTGGGCAATATCTAAAATTTGAATAAAAAACAAAGGCCGGGTCAGTCATAGACAATAATACAGTCGATGGACATTTGAGATTTCGATGTAAACTTTTACAAGAATTGTTGGCTTATTGTCTATTACCAATTTAAGCACTTGAAAAGTGTTCAAGCCAGGTTTTGTGAAGCATATAAAGCACTTATTTGAGCAAACGACAAAGCTATCAATGATATGTATATATTGATATGTGAAATGTGATATGTGATAATGTGAAGAATAGCTTTTTCGATTTTAATGATAATTTTCTAAGATACCTTAAAAGCTTACTATGATTCGAGTTGTTTGAACTAGGTAAAGTCTTCTGGTAAATGTACCTATTCATGCCCACGTTTAGTATAGATAATATAAAAAGATTTAGATTCAGTTTAAACAGAGATACGAAATGCTCTTCGAGCCAAGAGTGGTCCCTATTGACCCAAAGCCTTTGCCATATCATTTCACCTGTAAGATAGAACTTCCTATAAAGGGAGAAGGAAAATTGACAGGGGAATCAAAATGAATCAATGCAAAAAGGTCAAACTGTTTGACATTCAATAAAGGCGCACAGCTAAATTAAACAAATCGATTCATTCATACACAAGACGAAATCTTTGTGAATACATATATATATATACAGATAGATATATATATAGATTTCTATATAAATAAGCTGAAAGATACAAAAATAAATGACAATTCATTTCGTTGAGCATTTCAAGTAGATTTTCAAATTCATTAAACAGCAAATTTTCACTAGCACTGCGAGCGTGTAAAAAAGATACATATATAAATAAATATATATGTGTATATGTATACGTATATGTATGTGTAGATGTGAACATGTAAGTGCAGAAGTGTGTATGGGAAAATTGGCCATCCAATTTCTGCGGCTGAGTGGCTTTGACTTTGGTTTTGGCTGCTTTTTTCGGGCCTGTGCACAAATCGCACAATAAATTCAGCGCCGTCTGACGTCACAAGTGTCCTAGATAGAGAATCAACAACGTCGAGGTGAAATCTCGTATAATATAGACATGAAATCGTTTGGCAAACAACAAACAGGCAACATTTCACACACAAACAGCAACAACAACAACAACAACAACCAGGCCAAAAGCACGTGCATTCAACATTTTTGGAAGCTTTGCAGCTTCCGTTGCGATCTGCTTTTGACGTTGATTTGATTTTCATTACATTTCTTTTTTGCTTTTCCATTTGACTTTTATTTCTCCTTTCATTCATTAGTTACACCCCGCACACACACACACACACACACACACACGCACACACACACGCACACTCTGGGACAGGCTAAGCGTTTAAGCTGCCTCGTTCGAGTGGCCCCGAATCCCTCTGCTGCGGCCAATGTTCGTTTTTCTCAATGAAAATGCCGCCCACAAATCGACCCCCGCCCCCCAGCGCGAGCCCAGCCCCACGTGAATCGAGAAGGTTGCGCCGCCTGCCTGCCTGTTGCCCTAGTTCCACATTCCACATGACGCAGCCACAACAACAAGCACACACACATCGCACACACACACAGATAAAGAGCGGCCTTTGTGGATGCCATTCGCTGCGCGCCTTGTGAATGAATTTCTCTCAGTCTCGCTGCGGCTCTCAATTTCCAGCTGGCTGCCTTTTTCAATGGGCAGCTTCTATTTGTGGCGTCATTGAAGACGCCTCGAGCCGTTATCCTAGCTGGGTGGCAGCCCCTGCCCCATCCCCCTTCCCCCTAATGTCATTCGTGCTGTGTGTGTCCTTCCAATTCATGAGTGCATAAATGTGAATGTGCGTTTGTCCTGTTAGCACATGTATTTACGTTTCCAATTACGGAACGTTACATTCGATATTATTTTTAAACACACCTTAGATATCCATTTTTATGTTAACAGAATGCAAAGATCAGCTTAGCAGTTGGCATAAGCTCTAACAAATAAATGCCAGCTTTTCATTTACATTTTAATATGAACCGAAATTAAAGCCAAACGAGTTGGTCGCAAAACAAATGAACCTTTACGCGAAACAAATCATATTTCAACTCGAAAACAGTTTGGTTCAATATGAAAAACTTTTGTGCAGGATCCAGGCATAAATAACCTGATCCTCAACCATTGCCACATTTATCTAGTCAAATTTAATAGACTTAAATTTTTGCTAGAGCTTCAATTTAGCGCGCCTTTTGTTTGTGAAAATATGTATATCAATATTTTCAGTAGAACAGTCACGCATACTTTGATTATAAATTTAATTGATTTATTAAAATGTCAAAAAATATACAACTTAAGGTTTGAACCGAAGCTGCTTCACGGCAGTTGATTCGAACTGTAAAACCTACAATCAGACAAATCGTTCGAACTGTGAAAGCGGAAATCAGACAGTTGGTTCGAACCTTAGAACCTACATTCTGGTAGTTTGTTCGAACCGTAAGACATACAATCAGAAAGTCGTTTCGAACCGTAGAATCTACAATGAAAGTTGGTTCGAGCCGCGCATTTCTTACGTTATTTTTTATATATAGCCTAAGTATTTTTGATACGCTCGCCTGGACATGAGTCGAACGCGAGATTCTGTATATAGTCCTAAGTTCAAGAGGGAAAGCTTTAATCAACCTTGTTGGCTTCCCATTCATTTACCTATTAATCTGTCTATTAATCTCCATCTCTTCCTTGCTCGCCTTCATGCACTGTTCCTCCTCCTAACGAAAAGTTGAATTATTTATAGAGTTAAAGTTGTCCTAAAACTAATCTATCTAACTATAGCTGATCGCAGCAACATTTAGACAGGATTTGAACACTCAACATTGTTGTTCATCTGATCTGCCTAGCAATAGTCGAAGCTTGAACCCAACGGCGTTGCTAACTTTAGGAATATTTCCATAAAGCCAGCTCGGCGCATATCCATAAGCCCAAATGCCCCATATTTGTATTATATTTATAAATAATTAAATAAGCGGGAAATACATACATCAAAATTCAGGAACAATTCATTGAGTAGCACAATTTCGAGTGGCATTCGAACTTTCAAGCCAGGAGGAGCAGCGGCAATGTGCTTAGAGTGCTCATAAAGTGACGCATTTGCAGCACATAATCCTCTATTATGCATCCATTGCTGTAGCTGAGTGTGTGTGTGTGTGTGTGGCACACTCATATCTGCGCCCTGTTGTGCGACACAATCGTCCTTCCGCAGGTTGAATGAACCCGTGCGACTGGCTGACCCAGTTTGTGCAGCGCCTGCCGTTGCCAGGCTGCCGTGTGTGTTCCCATTCACAAGCAGCATCCTTCCACAGCCGCATCCTTGGCGCATTCAATGACAGCTATGAATGAAAAGGAGCTGCTGCTCCGGCTGTTGCTGTTGCTGTTGCTGCTGCGGCTGCTGCGGCTGCTGCAATGCGCATGGCACTGGGTCAATACACTGAATGAAGGTTACGCGAGGCAGGCAGCTCTGGCGATGTGACGTCATTGCTGACACAGTTATTGCAAAGACTAGTTTTTTCTTTAAATATTTTTGTACAACTTTAAATTTACTTTTATTTTCGATGCGTAACAAAAAAGCGCAGGCAAAAAATATTGTTGTTGTTGTTGTTGTTGTGCAAAAAGCATTTACAAATTTGATTTAAAACCTTTAAACACACTTTTTTTTCGTAGGCGACGGCAACGGCAGCGACTGTAAGCCAAAATAATAATAAAAAGAAACTAATTTTTTAAAAAAAACTAAGACATTATTTTGCATAGGGACAAGTCGGCCATGTCGCTAGCTGAAGCAGTCTGTAGTTAAGAGTTGAGCTACAAGCATTAATTTTCTATTGCAGTTGCAGTTGTTGTTCTTCATTTTTTATATAATATTTTGGCAAACATTTAGAGAATCTCAAAGAGCTTCTTGAGCTCCACCATCAGCGCCCAGTCGGGTTTGATCAAGTCATCGCGGAAATAGTCCTTGCAGGCGTCGATGCTCTGGCGTGAGATCTGCAAAAAAAAGCGACAATTTGTAGATATTGTTAATAAAATAAATTAATAAGACAGAGTAACAATAAGAGCAAGTAAAATAAGAGGGTTTTTTTCATAGTCAAGTGACAGACTATTTTAAAGCGAACCAGTTCGTGCCGAGAATTCCTTTTGGTTCTTTTCTATGAACCAAACTCAAAAAAGAAAAAATGTCCACTAAAGGAACCTAGAATTCTCAACGTACCATATTTTTTCCATCAAATTTGGTTAAATAAAAAAACTTTTTGGCAGGACTCAGCTACAGGAGAATAGTTTCCAGCCGAAGCCAAGAAGTTGCTGCGAATCGAACGAAAGTTGTTTCTGAGTATCAACAATTTCTTTAAATATATCCAATCATTACCTAAACTATAAAACAATTTCGAATTCTCCTATTTAGATGCTCGATTCGTGTTTGTCTAAGCTCTTATATAACACGCTGACATTGTTCTTTACATCCGGTCGATTAGCTCGCTTGAATGGCAGCCGTTTGTGCGCATTTCTTAGTTTCCATTTCCATTTAATTATAAGTTTTTGCCAGCTGCATATTAATTTGCCCGGGCACAACAATACGTTCAATATATAGAGAGTTGCATACCTAATGCCCGATAAAAGATACACCTATAGACGTATCGGACAATAGGGGCAATGGCTACGCATATTGATGAGCTGGCCAGAAGCTAGGCTTATACTCGTCCGGCATTTAAAATATAATCGAATTCACGTTGAGATGCATTTTTTTGATATGCAATTTTCTACTTTGATTTCAGACAATCGATAACCATATCGATAACATTTTGAGATATTATTTATAATCCGATTGATAATTATATTATATATGTACATAAGGATGTATTCATATTAATATTTGTATTTAATTATATCGATTTTTTTTAAATAATCGATAGCATTATCGAAATTAAAGAGTAGTATTACGGAATTAATTTGATTAACCTTTTGACCTTCTGCTATAACCCTTAACACTTTTTAAATATAGAGAATTACCTTTTTCCTTCAACTAAATAAATTCAAATTCGATTCAATTTCAGTTTATTTTTATATTTGACCCCGCACTTTCAGCTATTTATAGCTGGCTCTTAAGCCTTGTCTAAAAATTAAAAGCCACGCTGGTATGTGGGTATTTGGGTTGCAGTCGCCGAACCGGGTCGCCAAATGCGTCAGAATCTCTGATAAAAAAAAAGAAAAATAGAGTCAAAGCCGGGCACAATGCAAAAGCTGAACCCGTTGCACGCAACTGGGTCAAGTGAGTACCCAAAACAGCGCGACCAAAAACTGGGTTATTGCTGCGATGACGATGCCGACGACGAGAACGTCAGAAGTCAATGAACGTTGGGGGCAGCAGCAAGTGCATTGCCGTGGAAGGTGAAACGTGACGTCAGCCAGGCCCAGACCCAGCCCCAATTCCAGCTGGGCTGGGCTGGGCTGGGCTCTCGGGGTGGCTGGGCAGAAGGCGCCCGCTTTGATCGGGTCAGCCATGACATAATACCCTTTGATAGCACGTAAAGGCATTGAGCGCTAAAAATAGCAAAGCGGCTGTAAATAGATATAAGTGAGCGGAATGGGCAAGCACACACAAACAGACTCACACAGAGAGACTGTGCCTCGTCCTTGAAGCGCTTTTATGTGTGTTTCTGTTATGTTTTTGTCTTTACAACATGTTGTGGACTAAATTTGATTACCCAACTCGGCAGGCAAACAATTTTTTACGACAAATTAATTGAATCAAACTCGCTGCAAAGTGGAGCTCAATGAGCAATTACCCAACGACTCTTAAGGTCCCAAACCCAGCCCCCGCCCTGCTCCAGCCCTCGCTTCCGCCTCAAAGTGCTGACAGCCAATGCTGCTGACGTCATTGATGCCACCGCATTGATAAGCGCCACTAAAATAGCGCGAAAATTAAGTTCATTATCGATTTGAAAAGTTCACAGTCCCCTTCCCCCCAGTAGCTAGCACAACACAACACACACCCAGTGTCCTTCGCTTGACGTCAGCTTTATAGTTGTTATACCCTGTATCTACTAAAAGTGGGCATACTGGTTATGTTTTATTATATTCTACAGGCAGAAGGAGATATATATTAAATTTCTTTAAACTATAATCTTCGATGGCTGAAACTAATTTAATAATGTCGATAAATATCGAGTTTCAAACATAACGGAAACATTACAGGATATCGATAAAATATCGTATTTGACACATACAATAATATCGATAAATATCGATTTTGATACATAACTGTAACATGACGTAATAACGATAAGTAACGTGACAAAATATCGACTTTAAAACATAGCTTTAACAACTACTATCGATAAATGCCGATTTTAAAACATAGTTGTCCTTTAACAAGTTATCGATATTTATCGACACTTTAACATAACTGCAACATAGCATATCATCGATAAATATCGATTTTGACACTTGGTTGCCATATTAAAGCTACAGAAAATGTTAAGCAAATCGGAAAATGAGTTTCAGAGCTACTAAAGAATGTATTTCCCATGTTGTACGGCAAACGGAAGGTGTAGAGTATCTATAATAGAGTGTTCGACTTATGACATCAGCTGGGGATAGAGCAACTGCTAGTCGAACATACCCGACTTGATCAATCTCGTTTTTTTTTGTTTCGTTTCAGTAATTAATCAAATAATGTTGCTAGCCATTTGCCGGGGCGGAAGTTGCAAAGACCTTTTAACGCCATTTATATGGCACATAAAGCCCCCCTCCGCCTCCCCCAGCCCCTTTGCGAAGGGAGCTTCCCCTCGCGCTTTACACGACTTGGCCATGTAATTTGATAAGCCAAGCTGGCAATGGAAATGCGAATGCGAATGGCGCACTGCCAAAGTTTAAGTGCTCCCAGTGCCGAGTGGCAGCGCACAAGGGAGCTGATAGTAAAGAGGGGCAGGGGGATTTGCACCTGGTGCCAAGTACAGGTGCCGGGTACAGGTGCTGGGTACAGTTGCCACTCAGCTCCGATTGCCTGACGTAAGCTTGAGAGCCAAGTCTCTATCTAGCAATTGACTGTTTTTTAGATGGGCCAATTGATGGTTTTTGCGTAAAAACCCACTAATAAAAGTCAGGTTGTAATTCGGCTGCAATTGGTGATAAACACATAGTTGCTTCTTTTTTTTTTTTAGAGTTCCAAAGTTATTTTTATAAATATAAAATGAACTAACATATCAATAGACATGATAGAACATCAAATTTGTACGTTATTTAAGGGGGAGACAATTATAGACAATCTGTCTGCCGGAAATGTCGAGACATCAGCAAATCGATTAAGATTAGACAAGAAAGACGATATCGTCCGCGAACATTATCTGATTGCATGCATCGCATGGCCGTAATAATTTCGCCGGCTGCAAAAGGCTCTGTTCGAGTGCGTCTGGAATGCGCTCAGGCGGTGCCGAGGGCGTCTTCCTCATCCTCATTGGAGACTCAATGTTGTCAAAAACCATACAAACTATCGTGTGGTATATTAAATTTTTGTCAGAAGAACTACCTTTTCGTTTAACATTTATCAATTTCAACAATTGTCAGCTTTTATGGATAGTATTGTCTGAAAAGTGAGTTGCATGGAACTATATTGGTCAAGCTACTTTTGTAAACAGCTCTACATCACAAGCTAAGCGTGAATAACTGCAGAGTCTACTGCAATCCCTGAGAATCGAGGAGAAGAGCACTTTACATTTTATTCACATTTGCAGCACAGCGAAAACTAACCTTGGTTTGCGTTTGGTATACATACATGTATACTTATATATATATTCATACACACACACACACGCCCAATTTATACACAATCGATAAATGATATGTCTAGAACTTACCTTGCTCACGAGCATATCGTCCGCCTCGAAATGTCTTCCAAACATTTTTGGTGATTCGCCGGGAATTGGTTCTATTTTGATGCAAATCTCTTGACCTTTTCGTGCAAATTCGATTTGCTTGTGATTCGATTCGATAGAGGTGACTATGCCAATGTCCACAAACTGCAAATGGACAGAAATAGAGTTTCATTCAGTGTGGCTTTGTGGGGCTTATGACTAATGGAGAGACACCAGCATTTGCCGGCACACTTATGGGATTCGCAGCGCAACAGATAGCACAACAAATAATAGCACCCTAAGCCCAGAGTTACAAAGAAGAAATAAAGTACAAATGGTAAAAAAAAAAACCAGGGTGCATCAGACTGAAAAATACACGTTCATTCGCGAAATCTATTCAGAGCTGTCGATAAACGATATATATATGTAAAGATATAGATATAGATATGGATATACATAGATAGACAGAGGTAGAGATAAAGATATAAAATGTATACGAATATTAGCACGCTTCAAGCTGAAAGACTCATCATGGAGTTTAAGGGTCAAATGGAGTGTATGCTGACAGCTGGACAAACGAACGGACATGGCGCAAAGCCAATATACTCTACACACTTTTGTGGGCGGGTATTTAAGCTAAATCGACTTGGGTCTTATCAACACATCTGGCGCAAGCCTTTTGTGCGGCGTCGGCCATTTCCTTAATATTGCCACGACCAGCAGCAGCACGACTGATAAACGAGCTTGTGGGTGTTTTGGCTAAATGGGTGTTTACAGTGGGTTAGATAACGCCCCCGGGGCAACCAAGTACGCGTCGCGTCGCGTCGCCCAACGCCACTCGCCAGTCTCTATCGCTGGGCAAAGTCATTGAACCAAATTGTAATATGTTTGTTGTCGTAACTCGTTTGCACTCAGCGACAACAACAGCAACAACAACAACAAATTAAACACAGGAAACTGTTGCCAACCCAACGCTGGCGTCGACTGCGCTGCCAGCGTCAACGTTTCCTGTGGGCGCCCCAATGGCGGCCACGTCGCCCGTCACCCGTCGCCCGTCGCTTCGTTCGTATTTCATTCAAACCAAATAAATTATTGAAATTTTTTTTTCTATATTTTTTTTTTTCGTCGTTTTTGGCTTGTTGCTATCGGTGCAAATAGCTACAACACATTTACATACATAGGGAGACACACACACACACACACACATAGAGCGCGGAGGGGCGCATTTGTCACCATTTCCTGTCGTTGATTACTCATACGCTCCGTTTTCGGTTCTAGTCCGCTTGTCGAATTTTCATTAAATGTGTTAATTTATTTCCATTTCCACACAATTTTTCTTTTAACATTTGGCCCTGTTGCATGCTCTGGCCAGTGTTGCCACACTAGAACAGATGATAAGAGGCTGACAGATGCTTCAGATGTTATCGATTTCGATTACATATCGATTTCTATTGATTAGGCGAAGCAAATTAATCGAGATCTATGTGAAATTCGAGCTCTGATTAAGGTAAATTAAAGATAGAAACTGACTTGTGTTAATTGGTAAATTTATGGATAAATGCAATATTATCCAGATTTTACCCCCTAATAATTACATATTTTCCAGCACATTACCCAACTTATTGAGTAGACCCAATAAAGTTAGAAAAGTATACTTTATTTTATGTCAAAAATATTATTTGAAGTAAAAGAAATTATTGGGTTTTTATCAAAAGCATTTAATTTTCCCATAATGAACCTTTGTAAAACTAGAGCACAATTGTATTATTTTCTCAAGCAATTGCGATTAGTGAGAATCTGAAACTGGGTCATAATAACATATATACATATCTGAACACTAAACCAAAAATGCATTTCGAATAAAAATGTTATTGGTAATGACAAAAGAGCAACTCAATCATGCAATGCGCAGCTCGTGCCGAACCGAATGAATGTGTGTGTTGGTGTTGGTGTGTGTGTGTGTGTGTTTGTGTGTGTATCAACGTTTATCTAAAAATATGATTTATATATATATATGTATTTTTTTTTTGTACAGACCGGATGTCGTCTATTTTGAACAACAAGAACAACAACAAACACGAGGCGCTGCCAGCTTGTTTGTACAAAATCAACATTTATTGTACAATTTATGAGAGATACTAGAACTTTTTGATACAGCCCATGGATCGTTTTGCAAATTGTGCGTACTTGTTGCTGTTGTTGTTGTTATTGTTGCTTTTGTAATTAACTTAACTCTCGCAATTAATTTCACTCTCTCTCTCTCTCTTTCGCTTTGCCTTTCTCTGTGCTGTGCTTTCTTTATCATGTCATGGTTTGCTTTTGTCTTTGAAGCTTAAACTGCAGTTGTCAGCAGGAAACACTAAATTAGCTGCCGGCTGAGAGAATTACGGCATTTCGACACAAAACAACACACACACATGCACAATAAGCAGAGTGTGTGTGTATGTGTGTGTGTATCTGTGTGCGTTTGTCATGCACAGACAAATCAGAGTGCCAAAATTTGCGACATCCGTCACAGCAAACCTCCGAGCGAGCAGGACAGAGCTACTCACAGATATTCAGATAGATAGAGAAAGAGAGAGCGAGAGAGAGAGAGAGAGAGAGGGAGAGTGGGTGTATCAAAAGACATTCAACATCTGTTGAATGCGCCTGGTTTTAGCTTTAATCACAGCGCTGACAACTTTGGCAACGTCAGAATTGTCACCCAGCTGCGCAGCTGCAAATGTTCACAACAACAATAAAAAGTTCACTTCTTGAATTCTGAAGTTCTTCAAATATTTAATCTTTTTGGCTGCAGAACTTTGGACTTTTATGATTAACTGTTTCTATGCATTTCGAATGAGTTTGCGACAAAAACAACAAAGCAGCTCGTGGCATATGATTTGAACGCAAAGCTATACTTGTCATTTATTCAAGTGTTCTTTAATGTTTTCAACAATAGGAGTACAGAGAAAATATATCAAAGACAATAATTGATCGAACGCTATTCATGTCACTAACAATCGATCGATAGTTTCAACACATGATTCATTCAATCTTTTACGTCTATGTTAGAGGTCGACAAATTAAAGTTCAAAGATAGTTCTTATAACATGGGTAAATTTGCAGATTAAACCGTTATTTGTTTATCGTTGCCACAAATTTAAGTTCAGCTTGTGCTAAATAAAACTATCGATAGTTTAAATCAAGATTTAAACCACAATTTTAAGTCTAGCTGATGCTACAAAATCTCACGATATTTTTAACCGACGATTCTAAAGTTCCCCAAAGTACAACTATTCATTTGACAGAACTTTAGCATGTGATAAAAACTTATCGATATACTCAACCAAACGATTCAATCAATCGATAGTTCTGTCAACTAAAGTTTATTTATTTTCTGTACCTAAAAGAAATGCTTCTACTTGAATATCTCCAATGTTTTGGCATTTCATCAGTTGATCAGTTAGATTCAAGTGACTGTCACAAGCCCACAATGCCTGGACTGACAAGCGATGAGAATAATGCAACTGTTGCAGCAGCAGGCCAAGAGCAGCTGCAGTTGCAGAGCGCATCTGCAACGCCTCGGCATAACGCCCCTGAGGGCTGTCAACAACACCTTTCGAGCGGACAGTCAGCAGCACGTTCCCAGCAATCAGGCATAAGTCTAGTCATGCTCATTAGCATCCGCTGTGAATGCAGCGACGCCCACATATTGACTACATAAACAACAACAACAACAACAACAACAAGAGCATTAAAAGCTCGTAGGAGGCAGGGCACAAAAGTCTTTCTTTCACTCGCTCACAGGAAGTCTGTGGGCTTTAGATTGAAGTATCAACTCAGGTGGGTGCTGCAAAGTGCCAGCCAGCCGTGTCAACAGTGGCCAAGATCAGCCCGGTTACAAAAAAAAAACAACTCATGATTTCAGAGATTGTTCCATTGATAAGGTATATTCAAGTCTGTTGCTGTTGATTTCTTTTTTGTTCCTTTATCAAATCGGAAACACTTAAAGATACAGATTTATCAGTCATCAATCAATACGCAAACCAAGTGCAAAACAATCATGAATGAAAGCCCATAAAGTAATTAGAGCAACGGGAAAGCAACTTATTCTGATAAGCGCCAACTGCATAGAACCGATAAGAATCAAGCCGAAAACCCCCATTGACCATCTGGTTGACCGACAAAATATACTGATTGACCATGATAGGAAGTGATTAAGCATAAAATTATTATTATTTTTTGTTTCAAGGTTAACAGCGGTTAGTTCAATGCCATGCTGCATTCGTTTGTTGTTTGTAGTCCAAGGTTTTTGCAAGGGGTCGCAAGTAACCTTCTTTAACAGGTGCTGCTCGGAATTTTCGGGGATTTCTTTGCTCAGCAAATGTGTTGCTGGCTTTTGCTTTGCTTAAATTTTATAGGAAATTGATTTCACTCAATTTGTGTGATTCGATTGTAGGCACCATATAATGTTGAGCCCTTTACCATTTCTGATATAGATATCATTCGTCTAGTATGGTTCTACATTATATATATATATATATTTAATAACATTATATAATATATATACCTAATATCTTTGACGGATTGACTGATCAATTGACAGAAAGATTGAATTACTGGATGACTGACTAAAAGACCTACTGACTGATTGACGAACTGACTGACGGACCGACTGACTGAGTGAATGACTGACTAAATGACAGATTGGCTAATTGACAGAAAGATTGAATCACTGGATGACTGACTGAAGGACAGACTGTCTGATTGAAGGACTGACTGACAAACCAACTGACTGAATAACAAGCTGATTAACTGACTAAGTGAATGGCTGACTTAATGACGGATTGATTGACTGACTGACTCACAGACTGACTAAATGACAGAGTGCATGACAAACTGACTGACTAACTGATTCATTGGTGACTATCTTGATATCTACATAATATTTTATATTCTAGTTACTATTTATGGATAGAAATTTGAACTTTTGTTGCAAAATTGTTCAGTTTTTTAAGCAATTTTAGGCAAAAAGCGATAATAGAAACAATAGCTTTATGAATTACTGCTTAGATTGCATTAGAACTGGAATTGTATCTACCTTTATCTAAATACATTTAGCATTTATCTATATGTAATGTACTCTACAAGTATCTTATGCATCTCGTTCATATGACGCTTAG